GCTTGTGGAGTTTTCGGTCGCGCTTATCCAAGCCCGTTGTGAAGACATGGTATTGCCCATTGCTCAACTGCTTTGGCTGGCTCTGATAGCCTGACTGCTGCTGCTGCTGCTGGCTGTTCTGGTTATTCTGGTGGTTGTGACCGCCCTGATTACGACCTGAACCGGAAACCCCATCGTGATCCGGCCCGCTGAAACCGGATCCTGAACCGCCACCTGATCCGTGATCATACCGGAAAACATTAGAGTTCTTGAACTCCTGCATGATATAGCAATCTTTCCAAAGATGGTTAGCCGGTGCCTCCTTCGTCCCGTGCTTTGGGCAAGGCTGATTCAACAAATAGTTCAAACGGCTTGCATTAGGATTGGGAGCCCCGTTACGATTTGCCGCTTTACCTCTGCGCCGCTGCCCCCTGTCCTGCGCGCTAGTGTTGGCCACAAAGTCCACGCTGCCATCCGCCTTGCGCTTGCCTCCATTTCCATGACCCGCTAGTTTGTTCTGCTGCTGTTTGGAGTTGCTATTCTTCTTTCCCTTCCCTACTTCATCATCATTAAGCTCGGGATCCTTGGTACTGTCCGAATCGGCATACTTCACTAAAGCAGCCATGAGGGTTCCCATGTCATTACAGAACCGCTTCATGCGTCCCAATTTCAATTTTAGAGGCTCAAACCGGCAGTTGCCTTCCAGAGTTAAGACCGCAGAGTCAGCATTAATCCTGTCAGACGAGTGCAAAATTTCCAAAACGCGGCGTACCCAATGGGTCGTTGATTCTCCTTCTTCCTGGACACAAGCCGCCAGGTCTACTATGGACTTGGGTTGCTTACATGTATCCTTGAAATTCTGTATAAACCGGGCCCGCAACTGGGCCCATGAGCTGATAGAATTGGGCGGTAGGCTCTTTAACCAAGTACGAGCCGTGCCCTCAAGCATCATGGTGAAATATTTTGCACATGCGGCCTCATCCACGTCCAGCATTTCCATGGCCATCTCATAACTCTCTATCCATGCTTCAGGGGGTAAATCAGCGGTATAATTCGGCACCTTGCGTGGACCCTTGAAATCTTTGGGCAGGCGCACATTACGTAAGGCAGGGATCAAGCAAGGCACTCCCAGAGCGGATGTGATTCCTGGTCCGGCAAAGGTGGCAGAACGAACCGGTGTAAGTTGGCCCGCATTATCCTGTGCTGCTAACTCGGCCTCCCTTTGCGCCCGGGCCCGGTTCACCGCATCCCGAGCATCGACAACACCACCTGCCGGGTCATCACCACGGGCCGCTTCACGGCCTTGCGCATTGCTTGATATAGCCGGTTCATCTATGCGCCTGCTATAGCTCCGGCTCGGACGGGGCGTAGAATGAATCCGATCACGGCTGTATGAGTATGCCTCCTGCTGAATCAGCGCGGTCCGGAGAAGCTCCTTAACCCGGCGCGTCTCTATTGCTTGCGGAGAATCCCCTTCGACTAGGATCGCCTCTAACCGTGCTGCGGCCGCAACAAGGTTGTCCATAGGATTCGAATAATGACCCGGGGGCGTCTGGACCGGCGGAGGAACCACAATATTTTGGTGAGGGGGTTCCATCAGGCGAGGTTGGACCGTCGCTCCTGGCCCTGGCGCCTCAATCTGGTTTGTCTCCTGGTACCGCGGTGGATTACTGGGTCCAGCTCCTGGAGTGTGAAAGAGATTTCGGGGGTCAAACCCTAACGGCAGGCGTGATCTGTGCTTCCGCTTCAAAACCTCCTGTGATGCATTCTGGTCAAGTTTATAGGCCTGTGCGTCCAAAGCGGCCCGCTCTGCAGCCATCCGCCTTTTTCTGCTGCCAGATCCGCTTTCGCTTGCACGATCTGCTCTCTCACCTTCGCGATTTCTGCATTATGAGCCTCTTGATCCGCCGGATCATCCTCTGCCATAAGCGCGGCTAGTGCGTCAAACAGATCAGATAGAACTTGAACCGGTGGGCGCACAAGGCCTCCTGCCCCTGCTGCCGCTGCCGCTGCGGATCCGGAGAGCATTGCTGCGGCAGTCGAAGAATAATTTGCCGCCTGGGTGCCAGCCATGAATATTCCAACCCGGTTGATCTGGCCTGGGGGGTCCGGAATACTGTCGCCATCGGAACAACCCCTAACCTGATCGTCTTGCATCCGGTATAGCGACTCGGTCTCTCCGGTCGAGGACTCGTCGCCGGAATAGACGACGGTCTCGCTACCGTGCTCTGATTCATCCTCACGCTCTCCTCCATAGATGACTCCAACGAAGGCACGCTTCATGGCCGGTTTAACCTGGGTAGATCTCGCACGCTGAGCCGTCTTGACGGGGTCGGTGTAGATGTCCGGCTCAGGCCCAGGCTCACCGATCTTGCCGATGAAGACGTGTACGCTGCCAAAGGGGACCCGGTACCCATACTCGATCGAATCGGCCTCGGGACCCCATCCTGCATCATCGATGTAGATCCTGCCCCGACGACTCTTGGTCATCCGGCCCACAACATAGCCTTCGAGTCCCTTGAGCTTGCCCTCCAAGATTGTCAAACCATCGTGCGATAGCCCCACGGTGGGCGCCAACTGTCGTGGATTTGTCACGGCAGGTGTCCTAGCGAAAGGACTTAGTCGTGGAGCCATCGCTACGGGTTTACCTAAAGGGGTTAAAGCGGACACAAAGACACGAGGGTTTTATACTAGTTCGGCCCCTTCGATGAAGGTAACAGCCTACGTCTAGTTGTGGTGAAATTGATATGATCTCGATGGCTAGGGAGCAAACAAGCTTCGCCTAGGCTCGAGTTGTCGTTCTCTATCTTGAACCGCCACCGGGTCGCCCCCTTATATACACGGGTGGCGCCCGTCGGTCCATAGAGTCCTAACCGGTTCATACTCGTACTCCGGTTGCTATCTTTCTATTCCTTACTTACAACACAAGCCATACATGCGGCCGGTTTATGGCTATATGTTCTAACCGTCTACAGGCCTTGGGCCTTCATCTGTTTACACCACTAATGAAGTTAACCCGGCCCAAGTAAGCCGGTTTATACCTAGTGGTAATATCCCCAACAAGCGGCGCCACGAGGAGCAGATTGTCGCCACCAACAGCGCGAGCCCCGCGGCCGCCACAACTCTGAGGGGAGGCGCCGATGGTGGGGCGTCCCAGGCCGAACCCTCGAGGCCGTCCTTGAGCACATTGAGGCCTGGAGTACCCGACGCCCCCTCCTTCTCTCGCCGCCGCGGCAGCTCCTGGATGCCACGGCGAATGGAGACGGCGACATCATCGTCGGCGGGCTCTGGCTCTTTGTCCTCTAGCTCGCCGGCACTTCACCCCGTTAAGCCGGAGCTGCAGGAGACGCCACTAGGGCGCCGCATGCGCGGCGACGCCCTTGTCATCAACGAGGGCGGCCGCCCCTCTCCTTCCTACCGCTTCGTCCGGCTGAAGACCGAGCCAGGTTTGCTCCCCGTGAAGAAGGAGCACGAGGCCATGCCCGCCGCCTACGAGACCACCCTCAAGTGGGTGAAAGCGTACTACATCCGCGAGCAGATGGAGCGCCAGCGCCGGGCCATCGAGGAGATCGCCACTCGGCGCCGCGGACACGAGGAGGGCGGCGTGGTCGTCCTCGACAGCGACGACGAGGATGCGCCCGGGCCGTCCAACCCCCCGCGCATCGGCGACGCTGGTCAGGGGTGTAGCAGAGACGGTGGCGATGATGACGGCGACGACAGTGACTACACCCGGTTCTACAGACTCCTCGGCATGTAGATGGCGGGAGGCAGCAGTAGCTGGGCGTAGTCGTTTTTATTTGTGTTTTTAAATTTTTTATATAAATGTCAATGAAATCGTCGGGAGCTCTGAAGGCTGCACTGCTCATCCGAGAGCTGGAAGAATCGGCGGCGCACATGGGGCGCAGCCGCGGGAGATCGACGCGCATCCTTCTTCCTCGGCGCCGGCGGCCGCTGCTTCTTCGTCCTCATCGTCGTCGCTCACGTAATACCCGTCCCCTACGTCGTCCTGTACGCCTCTTCTTTCTGCGTCCCATCCTGTTTCTCTTCACCTGCGGATGTTGCATCAGATCCGCCTACATCTGCAAGTAGGGATTAAGGCATAGATGGATTCTTTCTGCTTAGTCTCGAAGAAGAAAAGCAATCCAGATTGAGACTTTCCCTCTTTAGATCTCCAACATTGCAGATAATAAATTAATAATAGAGGGTGTCGGTCACCGATTCTCAATTTGCTCTGAAATTTATATGTGCTCTGCTTTTATTTTTCTGTCAGCATGGACACTTACCAGATACAGTATTTGTTTGAGAAATACTAGGCGATTTTGGTGTGTAATCTGTATGAACAAAGATCTACAAGAAACTTCAACAAGCCGTCTATCTAGCGCGTATTATATACATATATAACTTCCCCATATAATTTATATCCAGTTTTTTCATCATTGTTATCTTATTCTGAACTTCTCAGGAGCGACAACTCAATGCGTTTAGTACCTTTGTTCAGTTCAGTGTATGATGGGAACATAGTCTGGCGTTGATGTCCTAACGACACGCATCACTCATGTTTTTTAGAATCTTGGTAGTTCATCTTGGTAACTCCTGTTCTTTTTCATACAGTTATACCTTGTTTCGCATGCCTAACCTTTTTCTTGAATTTGCTGTGTCGAACAGGGAGAGCGCCATCGTGCAAAAAATGGCCAACAGGACATGTTCTGCTTCTGTCTCCTCACTCTTTGCTTCATCTCGGCCACAAGGATGGGCAGAGCTCCCGGACGACCTGCTCCGACCCGTTGTCGCTCCGTGACCTCCTCGCCTTCGGTACCACTTGTCGTCATTGGTGTGATCTCCTCTCAGCACACAGGTCCTCTGTCCAGCCTCTGCTCCTCCACCCCAACCTCCGTACTGACGGTGGACAGGCTCTCTCGCATAACTGTTGGACCTTATTCCACAAATGCACATGGAGATTGGGTGACCCTGCTGCCACCTCATCCTCTCGCAGTTTTCTCTCCTTGAGTGACCTCAGAAGCATGACCTTTCTGCGCTACTCCTACGGTCAGCTCATCTTCTATGACAACAATGGGTTTCATATTGTTAATCCATTCAGTGGCGCTAAGCTTGGCCCTCCTTCCCTACAGTCAATTCAGTTCACTTGCATCAGCTATGTCACCTTAACTGCCCCTGTTGCATCTGCTGACTCGCATCTCCTTGTCGGTGCTGGAGCCTATCTGTTCCTGTGGCGCATCGGGAGCGATTCTTGGACAAAACACAGTCCTAAAGTTGGTCATTTTTCGATTGAACAAAATGTGGCCTTCAAGGGCAAGACATATGCCATAGGGTCTTTCGGGTGGTTCTACATCATTCACTTGTCACCCAGTCTCATTGTTGAGAAGTTTAAAGTTGTGTTCGAGGAAGATAAAACCGAAGATCTCTATTCGGCAAATGAAAAAGCATGGCTAGTGGTGTGTGGTGACGCGCTTCTCTTGATCAAACTTGTGGAGGCGGGAAGATGGATGCGCTCGGAGGCCTTCCAGTCCAGGGCCTTCAAGCTTGAGTCATTGGACACCATGACCAAGAAGGCAAGGTGGGTGAAGGTGAACAAGTTAGATAACTGGGCCATCTTTATCAGCATTGACGAGCGGTGCGGGGCGTTGCCGTGCATAAACCCGGAGGGATGGGGAGGGAGGAGCAACCACATATACTTCCCAAGTTATCGGTCTAAAAAACCTTGGGCTGCAGTTCAACTATGGAAAAAATGTTATTACCATTCGACACAGCTCTTCAACACTGAAAGACGGTACCTGAAATTGGAGTCAACCTGGGTCTTCCCCGCGTGTTTCCTTGTTACGTCCTGCGATGATCTTACGGCCGTGAGTGCGGTTGATGATTAGCTTCTGATACAGCTTTGGTGGGAAGATTCTACTATGTTGCAGTAGCAAGATTAGTTCACTGAATGTTCTTGACGTGTTTCAAAACTTGCATTACAAACAGAAGTGTAGATTAAGTTATTAGATTGTGTACTTTCCTCTTTTTTTCTGCGGCAATTACAAGGGACCCATATGTTCTGTTTCTCATTTATTACAGATTGTGGAGTTTTCTTGTACCTGGGCATTTGATAACATGGGCTAGGCCTGTAACTTCCCTTTCATACATAGATAGCTAAGAGTAATTGTACTATGGTTGTTGATTATTCACGTGATGTGCTTGAGCATATGACAGTCTCATTGGCTTGGGCAGAGCTACAATTTTTTAACTGAACATTGTACGCCATTTTGGGCCGGAGAGTTGCAAGTCCATAGACATCAGGTTAAAATAGACTGCAAGTTCAGCCAACAAACATATAAGCAGCATATATGCATTCATCACAAAGTTTATAGTTTGCACCAACAAAATTTAGGCATAGCTTCAGCAAACAGATCTGCATTTGAATATAGCTTCAGCAAACAGCTCTGTGTGCATTTGATTGTCTCTGTTTAAAAGGAGATCAAGCTACAAATAGATGTATGGACCAAACAAAGCACATAACTAAAATAAAAGCCCAGGCACATCTGACATGGTGCACACAAAAAATGCTGAAGAGTGATATGAAGACTCAAGAAGCTAGTATTGTTTCAAGATGCAAACCCTTATCTCTTGTATGCAAAACGGGAGTAATTAACAAGGTTCAGCTAAAACAGCAACATGTAGCACAAGTTTTGCCTCCAGGAATGTACACTGGGTGGCAAACAGAGATTATTACAATCTTTTTTGAAAGGAATTATTACAAATCTTGATGTACTCCATCAAAGGAGCGGAAACTAGAAGGAACATAGCGACAAAAAAGTCCCCAAGTGCAGCCAACGACAACAAGACAACTGCACGGTACAGGTACAACGACATGTTCTCATATCCAAGCTGCAAAGGATGTAGGATTGCAAGCAAGATGAGCATTGATCGTCGCAAAACAAGGTTCTGGCTCCAACTCCTCATGTTGGTTGCCATCTACTGGGTATGAAAATACTCGAGCGTTTTCATCCAACTGATAGCCAAGGCCACCCCTTAAACCCATTCTCTCTGGGTTCACTAAGAGTCGTGGCTGTCCAGTACGTTTCTCGCCCAAGAAGAACGCCCACTTCTTCAAGCCTCCCTCTTCCACGATCACATACTTTGCAGGTTCAGTTGAGAAGTCAATGGAGAAGACTTCCCCGTTACGACCAAGTAGGAGAAGTGTGTCTTCACAAGCCACCAAATTTCCGGAAAGCACGTACGGGTCCATATAATCTCTGCAATCAAGTCTTAGTAGCTCAACATGAAACTGAGGTGTCAAATGCACGGTGTATAGTTTTTGACGCATCCTCATAATGACCCGGCCTTTGAAGGACACCATCTCCTTGATCAAATGTGCATTTAGAAAGTCGCAGTGCAACCAAGAGGGGCTCCCAACTCGCCAAGCATACAGGCAGTGCGGGCTGCTGACAAATAGATATGAATTTGGTGACGCCTCTGGAGATATGAAGGTTCTGTAGCACAGTTGACTCAATGGAAAAGGTGGAGCTGCAACCGTAGTGCCAGTGAGCACGTCCATAATGACAAGGGATCTCTCGTAGCAGAAAATAGCATGACCATAAGAACATTTGACGACTGCCATTTTGTCCAAAATACCTGGAGGGGTCAAGCGACACAACGGAGTACTTGGATATACAGGATCAATGAGCTCCCATGTGTTTCCAATGTTAGAGCCAGCTGAGCTTGTCTGGTCGGCACAGTTCCGGAAAATAACAGGTGGGAAGAGCTCGCCTGAGGTAGATTTGATTGACATGAATGCGGCATACCATCTAGGGCAGGTGGCGATGAATGCAAGAAGGTCACGAGTTGAACCCAACAGGACAATGATGGAGTGCAATAATCCATGTGGTAGGTCCGCCCAGCCTTCGGGTCCAAACATGACACGGTGCACGGAGATGGGGGTGTCGGAGCTCCGGTTGATGTTTTGCATGATATCAGCTTCAAATTCTGCATTAAGGATCATGAAAGGACAACAATTTTAGCAATGGACCTGAGTTAACTATATAATATAAATTGCTATCACTATTTTAATTAAATTGGTACTACTACAGCTATGATAATTATACAAACACAATAAAAATGTTTGTAGAAACTATAAACATAATACACAGTAGAGCAAAGACTACAGTATTGCCATCTAAATGTGCATCTGCCTCAAGAAAATTCGATCATGATAAAATTCATCAACAGTTGAAAAGAAAAGGCAAGTTCTGTATTTTTCTTTCCACCGAATGTTATTTATATGTGTTGCGCAACAGGTTTGGCTCTTGTCTCCACCTTGATTCCGGGCCCACAGATACGCGATAAATTTCATCAACATTTGAAATTAAAAAGTGCGAACAATATTGAAATTCTAAGATTGTTCTACACTGATAGTGGTAAACCCTTGAACTATTTCATATTTTCATATAGTATAAACACAACAGGATCGCACATCCACCAACAACACATACACTCAGATCCCCAAATCATCCATGGCAGAGTCAGGCTAACAAGAACAAAAGTGCGATGAGCACGTAGAGGTTGCCCATAGTGGGGGTTATGACGGGCCAAGGAAGATGATCCTGGGCAGCCTTGCGCGGGTAAGAACTCTGTCTGATTGTGGACCGTGGCACCGGTCAGCAAATATATATACTCGGCCAACCCACGAGACCATGTCCTACATGGAAATTGACTTAACCTAGATCACATTGTATACTACATATTTGGACTCAAGCTTGACGCAAACACGTGAACTCCTACTAGTACATGTACATGACTTTGGTTAGTTCCCAAAGAAATAAAGCCACGTGACATGCAAGCACCAACTACATCATGTTCCAAACAAAACAATCAAGATTATGCTAACACTAGCGTCGGCCACTGCACCACCAATGGCTGTCATGGGTTCCCAACTCCAGTAGGAGGTGGGGAAAGTCTCGTCCACGATACCGGCAGTCACTCCAAAGTTGCTTGTATGTACAACTCAGAGCAAGGGGGTAGAACTCGACATCAACTTGGTTCCTTCCCTTGCCGGGGCTGAACCCGGAGGGCGGAGGTGATTGAAGGCCAGGCCTCCTCCATGAGTCCGGCAGGAGCAATGAAAATGAAGTGGGCGAAGTCAACCTCAACAAGGCTCCTCCCCTACCCCTGGAGCCAGTAACATGAAAGCCAAGCACCACAAAGATAAGAATAGCCACAAGGGTAAGCCAGGGAAGTAAGTTGATCAATCCCTGGTGAACACCGGGGCGGTGTTGGGTGAATGCATGGGACGTGATAGTGAGTCTTGTAGTGAGTTTGTGGCGACACCTAGTTACAAGGTCCTGGTCTGAACAAGAAGGCATGAGGTGAGGGTAATGGAGGTGGCATGAGCAACATAGGTGTGTTAGGCGGTAAGGAAGCTATCGGCCCATTGGTTGCCGATGAATGACATGTGATAAGGAAGGCACCTATCAGGAGAAATGAGTCGCCTGATCTAGAATTGTTGGGGCCTCGGCAGTCTCGGATAGTTGAAGAGCTAGTTTACCTCATGCACGCATATACCACTTGATGATCGTTTTACATTCTGAAACTCAGCAATGTGAAAGGAATTTCAATAATCTTAGTTGGATGCTAGGCCGCCAGAATTGTATTGTGCATGATGGTATGGGCAAGGGTGTGTTGCGTTGTTGTGAGATAAATGAACTAAAATAAAAAGATTGCCATATACCTGAGGTACATCAATGTCTTAATTCATGATGATTCCCATGGACCGAAATGTCAGGCTACATGATGAACCTAAGGAGTAAGGAAGGCGTCAAATCTGCAGTTTACTCAAAAGAATAAAGCCAGGTGCTCATGAACACTTGTTGATGATAGGTGATTTTTATGAGACGATGTGTGGTGGCATGAGCACTTCTCAGTAGCTTGGATATTCGAGAGAAAAAAATCAATTTCAGATAAGCCTTGTTCTAGTGTGATCTTCATAATTGGGGCTATAAGGGGCCATCCTGGACATACAATAATAAACAGTATGGTAAAAGCAATGTGACCATCGGGTTGAAAGTGCAGTTGCATCATCGGGTTGGTGTGATTTATTCAGAGTGAACAATGGTACGTACATATGCTCCAACCACTTTCCTCTATGGCTGCAATACAGAGATAGACCAAGGTGCATAGCAACGTGAAATCCTTCTGGTATGAGTAGATATGGGAAAGAGTACCGTCGCCGAAGGGAACTACTGAAATCCCTGGCCGATGACTGCACTAAGCTGGGAGTGCTGCAATAGGATGTTTGGTCCTAGACATGAAAGATTTTGGGTCCATGATAAGCAGTACTCACTGGCTGAGAAGGAATATTGTAGTCACATACTGAATGCACCATCTTATTGGTTGCGGATGGTCAGGAAAGCATCTTAAGAAAGCAGGTCTTGGAAGGGAGGTTAATGCCTATCAAAATTGTTGGGGAAGCCTCGGTGTCTCTAAACTAATGTTTGTTGATGACAGCCTTTTGTTCTTCAAGGCCATAGGAAGAGAGGTGAGGGTAGTGAAGGATACTCCAAATCTATTTCAAAGGTGTACATGATAGCCACTTAGCCCGGCTAAATGCTCTTTATTACTTAGTGAACATTGCTCGCCCCATGTCCAGTAAGAGATAAAGGTCACCCTTGGTGTTGTGGCTTCCACTTTTGAGAGTAAATATTTGGGTTTACGAACCCTAGAAGGTAGGATGTTTGCCTCGAATTTTAGTCGGTCATGGAAAGGTTCACAAAAATGTGCAAGGACTGGATTGAAAAGTATATGACCCGTGCAGCTAAAGTGGTCTTGATCAAGTAAGTGGTTCAAGCGCTTCCCAATTACTTCTTTGGATTGTTCAAATGTCCTTGGG